TTAAAGTGTGGATTAAATATCTTGTTGTGCTTATATATTGAATAATTTTTATTTATTATGAAGTGAGTTATTATTTCTTTAATTATTCTTGTTCTTTAATGTTTCCAAAGGGATTAGCTAACCCTAGGACTCGCCCATTAACTTCGAATTAATTTTGGGAAAGATTATTTGGGGTGATTAATTAACAAGAACTTGAGGCTCTAACCCTCATTTATAGATTATATCTAGGGATAGGATTGAACTACTTGTAGCCATAATCGGTGTGCTTAATCTCTTAATTGTTTTAGGGATAATTCAATTAGGAATTCTTGTTAGTCTTCGGAAGAAGCTAATATAGAATTATTACCCAAAGGGATAATTAACATAAACTTGCTCATATTTGTAAAATCGTAAAATACATTGGATCGTTACATGAGTGTAATTCCCCGTGCATCTATACTTGTAGCCATTGATCATTTTACTTGATTTCTAGGTTAGTTTACATTTTCGTATTTAGCTTTAAATATTTTCTCAAATCAATTCTAAGTGTTTGGCATTGCATAACAAGTGATAATTTTCTTACATTCCTAATTGCCTACATATTATTCTCTGTGGGATTCGACCCCAACTCATAGTTGGGTAAATTATATTGCATGCGACCGTGTCCATTTACTCTTTAGTAGTGGATTCAGGCGTCATCAAAATTGGCGCCGTTGCCAACTTATCTCTTCTTGATACTTAAGCTTTTGTATGATTTTGTTGAGAAACTAAGGCATTTATTGAGGTTTATTGGCATATTTCAGGTATCAAGTGATTGAGAAGAGATACGGAAGAAACCAAGTCAAAATGTGTTAAATTGAAGAAAAATGACTACTGCCAGCTAATGCTCTTCGCGATCGCGAACTTTGGCATGCGATCGCAGAAGGCTAGGAAACAACACATCGCGAACGTAGAGCTATTTCTGCGGACGCAACTGGTCAGGTGCTCCCAAATGCTTTACGCGGACACGTGGATATGGTCTGCAATCGCAGTGCTTTACAACTTTTCTATTCGCGATCGCAGGCCTCTTTTCGCGATCGCGATTCACAAATCTGGGAAGCTTTGGAATTTCATAATTTTTACCCCAAACCATTTAATACCCGACTTAGCTCAATTGTTAAAATATCTTTGGCTTAATTTTCAGTTTTTAGACTAGAGAGAACAAGTTTGGAAGCTAGGGTTCTTGCACACACACTTGGGTCTTGAAGCTTTGAAGCTTTTGGTTGAGGATTTCTTACTCATTTATGCTCAGTTCTTCATTTCTTTGCTTTGTATTGTATATCTGAGTGTGTAGTATTTATTTCAACACTTGAATCTTGTTTATGGAAATATTCATGTTTAAAGTGTGGATTAAATATCTTGTTGTGCTTATGTATTGAACGATTTTTTATCTTTTATGAAGTGAGTTATTGTTTCTTTAATTATTCTTGTTCTTTAATGTTTCCAAAGGGATTAGCTAACTCTAGGACTCGCCCATTAACTTCGAATTAATTTTGGGAAAGATAATTTGGGGTTGGGAAAGATTAATTAACAAGAACTTGAGGCTTTAACCTTCATTTTATAGATTCTACCTAGGGATAGGATTGAACTATTTGTAGCCATCTTTGGGTGTACTTAATCTCTTAATTGTTTTAGGGATAATTCAATTAGGAAGTCTTGTTAGTCTACGGAAGAAGCTAATATAGAATTATTACCCGGGGCTAATTAACATAAACTCGCTCATATTTGTTAAATCGTGAAATACATTGGATCATTACTTGAGTGTAATTCCCCGTGTATCCATACTTGTAGCCATTGATCATTTTACTTGCTTTATAGGTTAGTTTACATTTTCGTATTTAGCTATAATATTTTCTCAAAACAATTCTAAGTGTTTGGTATTGCATAACAAGTAATAATTCTCTAACATTCCTAATCTCCATTTACTTTTTAGTAGTGGATTTGGACGTCATCAGAGGGTGCCTGGTCATCTCCAGTAGCACGTGTCCTCACTATCTGTGAGAGAATAGAAGACATAAGTTTAGAATTTCGAAGTAAAAAAAAAATTTCGCACGACAAGGAATCAAATGAAGTGGAATTTTCCTAACAGTTCCATAGTCTCCCGAAGAAAAGTACATATGTCTTCGTACCGATCTGCGAGACTCTAATAAACCGGCTTGTGACCCACGACTCCTATGAAACTAGAGCTCTGATACCAACTTGTCACGACCCGAGTTCTCCCTCCGTGAACCGTCGTGACGGCACCTAGTCTCTACGACTAGGTAAGCCTAACATTTGAGGTAAAAGGAACGAAAAACATAAAAGTTATCAACTAATAGGTAAATTTAAACAAGGAAATGAGATACCGTTCGGCATTTACAATAATCACTTTCGAAAAGTACTTAAACTCTCCCAAAACCCGGAATTTCATAAGTCACAAGCTATAAGAAGTGTTTAACATTCTCCCGAAAACAACCTCTCTACCCTTTTCGGGGTAGGGGTAAGGTCTGCGTACAATCTACTCTCCCCAAACCCCACTAGTGGGATTTTACTGGGTATGTTGTTGCTGTTGCTGTTGTTTAACATGAGGAAGAGTAGATAGGGACTCCGAGGTCTGCGGACGCGGCAGATATACCTTGAAGTCTCTACAGTCGTCTCGTCTCACTGGTAATGCGACTGATGTGTGGTACCTGGATATGCACACGAAAAACATGTGTAGGAAAGGGCATGAGTATACCACAACGGTACCCAGTAAGTGCCAAACCTAACCTCAGTCGAGTAGTGACGAGATCAGGTCAAGGCCCTACTGGTATAAACATAATGAAATTAGACAGAATGAAATATTACAATAAAAAAAATACGGAAATCTAACAGTTATAGATTCAATGAAAGACAACAGCTCAAAACGCAGAAATAACAACATGGGGTCTCCCAGGATACCGTCCTGTAGTCCCAAACGTAAATGTGCAGGGTGATCTCCCGGAATACCGTTTCGTAGTCCCAAAGTAAATATGCAGTGCTAGGGATCTCCCGAAATACCGTTACGTAGTTCTAAAGTAAATATGCAGTACAGGGGGATCTCCTGGAATACCGTTCCGTATTCCCAAAGTAAATATGTAGCTCAACCAACAGAAGTAACAGTTACAGGAAGGAAACCAAATTCAGGCTAAGTCCGACTCAAGGAAGAACAAGAATTTCACTAAAACATGCTGCATAGAGTTCAGATAGGCAGTTAAAGCAGTTAAGGCTGTTAAGGCACGTAGGCATGCTTTTCTAAACTAAACAGGATAATTACATATGCTAGTGTAGCTCAATTAAAGGAAAACAGATATTTTTGCTTAATGAAAATGGAGTTTTCCAACAAATAGCCCGTGTACGCACTCGTCACCTTACGTACACGGCGCTCATATATCAAACGATACCAAATCCTAAGGGGAGTTCCCCCACACAAGGTTAGGCAAGCCACTTACCTCGAACCAAGCTCAAATCAGTTCGTAATAATGCTCTTTCCACAAATATCCGGCTCCGGATGGCCCAAATCTAGCCGAAACCAATTACATAACATAAATATAGCTACAAGAAACTAATCTAGCTAACGAAATCAAAGCTAAGGCAAGAAATTAGAAAAATGCCCAAAAAGCCTCCCCGAGCCCACGTCTCGGAATCGGGTAAAAGTCATAGATTATGAACACCCATTCACTCACGAGTTCACTCGTACCAAAAGTATCAAAAACCGAGGTCTAATTCCCCTTCAAAACTCAGAAATTCGATTGGGAAACTTTTTCCCCATTTTCCTAACTTTCTCATTCAAAATCCATGATTAAATGAAGAAAGCAATAATAGATTAATGAAATATAGCCAAAACAATCGTTACCCAATAGCTTCCTCTGAAAATCTTTCAAATTATCGCCCAAATCCGAGCTCTCAAAATCAAATGGTGAAGAATGACATAAACCCTCGATTTGGCCCCTTTTCTGTCAGTTAAACCGCACATGCGGTCACTTACACGCATATGCGGCCTCGCATCTGCGGAAAAAGCATCGCGGGTGCGAAAATAACTTAAATGGGCTGGGACCGCATCTGCGAGCATTGGGCCGCACCTGCGAGCCCGCTCCTGCGGTCCCCAACCGCTTCTGCGGACCCAGCTGGACAAGGCCTATATCCGCATCTTCGATTCCATAGCCGCTTCTGCGGCTCCGCACCTGCGACCCAGAGTGCGCAGGTGCGGTTACACCAGATACAGCCACTTCAGCTATTTTCCTAAGTCTCAAACCAATCTGTTAAGCACCCAAAACTCACCCAAGCCCCCCGGGACCTCAACCAAACATACAAACCAATCCTAAAACATCATACGAACTTAGTTGTTCCCTCAAATCACATTAAACAACGCTAAAAACACAAATCACCCTCTAACCCAAACTTAATGAACTTGAAACTTTCAAATTCGACAACCGATACCGAAATCAACCAAACCACGTCCGATTGACCCCAAATTTGCACACACGTTATATTCAACACTACAGACCTACACCAATTTCCGGAATCGGATTCCGACCACGATATCAAAAGTTTCCCTACCGGTCCAAAACTTCAAAAATTCGACTTTCGCCATTTCAAGCCTAAATGAGCTATGGACCTCAAAAACACAATCCGGACACGCCCATTAGCCCAAAATCACGCAACGGAGCTAACGGAATCGACTGAACTCCATTCCAGAGTCGTGTTCACACAGTTCCGACTTCGGTCCAAATTTTAAGTCTTAAGCCTCCGTATAAGGGACTAAGTGTCCCAAACACTTCCAAAAACCAAAATGAACCTCCTGGCAAGTCACAACAACAGAAATAGATACGGAGAACAGTTAATAGGGGATCAGGGCTCTAACTCTCAAAACGACCGTCGGGTTGTTACAATTCTCCTGATCGAGAATGTTAAAAGTATGAGTTGCTTAATATTTACTGAAAACTATCTGGTGTAATATATTTCATTTTTGTATCGTTGAGTAGTAGAATAAGAATATGATTGTATTGACAAGAGCAAAAAACAGACGACATAAATCTCAACTCTGATACATTCAACTTGACACTAAAAAGAGATAAAAAGAAAAACACACATATTTGGTATTTACAGTGTCTCACTCTTGTTAACAAGATAAAACAGGAAATTACCAAATAAAATAAGAAAGAGAAGAAGATACATTTTCACGTTGTAAGGTGAAAATGCTCTTATTACAAATGAAAAAACTTGATCAGCATGTCACTGATATCAGCTCCTTCATTTCCTTTTCAGAAAAAGCTGAATCTCACAGCAATTGGGCTCCTAACGATGTGTTTGTCAGAAATCCATTTGAGAGATCCCTGATAATAACCGGTACTTGGATTACTAGGCAAAGGTGTAAACGTCACTTGATAGCTCAATTTCTGGTTCACCTCTGAAAAAACTAGTGTAGTTGGTTCAACTTTTACATCAACGCCCGGTGGTGAAACAATTTCAACACTATATGTAGAGTTGGCTTGTCCTACGTTCGTCACATTTCTTGAATATGTTTGAGCTGCTGAGTCGGCCCTGAGTTTAATCGAAAATGATGGATAATTTAGTTGACCCTCTAAGATGCTAGTTATCTCTGAACAGTTAACTTTACGCTGCAACAAGATCCCAACTTGTCTATTTGTGTAATTCAAACCACATAGGTAAGATACGTAATCGGCTGGTTCAATGCCATATATCAGGCCGGGATCATTTGCTTTCGATGGATTAACGTGGCCTGCACCCGTGGCAAAGACATCAGCTGGAAGGTACGTTTCATCCTCGATGAAGTTCAATCCGAGATTTAAGACATCAGCTGTTGTCATAATTGCTGACTTAATTGCAGCTGGAGACCAATCAGGGTGAACACTTTTTAGCAGCGCTGCAACGCCACTGAGATGGGGACAAGACATTGAGGTACCTGAAATCATGTTGAAATTAGAGTTTGTGTTCGTGTTGTTCTCCAAGGAAACATGCCAAGCTGCTAGGATGTTAACACCAGGACCAATAATGTCCGGTTTTAGAATTCCAGGACTTGTATAACTTGGACCCCTGGAAGAAAATCCAGCAACCACTGGAGCACGATCATCTCCGATAATAGTTCCGTTGAATACTATTGTTGCAGTAGGGATTAATGTTGAGTTTATATACTCTTTGATTTTTAGACCATCTGCATAGCTAACGTGTGTCACCGGAAGGACATGTGCCTCGGCTAGTGTTGTGTTAGCCAGGTTTTCTGTATTCATAATAATCATGGCAGCACCACCAGCGGCCTTCACTGCTTCTCCTTTAGAAACTTGCGGTGTAATACCAACCTCACACAACACTATCTTTCCCGTGACATTCGTGTTGTTCAGCGAAGTAGGGTAACAATATTTAGCCAAAATGTCACTGTCATTGCTCCCCGGATAGGCAAGAGGCAGCAGTGTTGGAGGAAAGTCACTAGGTTGAAAAGCTGATTCTCCATCATATTCTTCATTGTTTCCAAGCAAAGCAGTAGCCTTAATTTTCCTGTCGATGGTACTTGCACCAACTGTTAAAATCCAGGGCGCGTCATTAGATGTCGAAAACCTGTATGGTCCTGAATTTCCAGCAGCACAACTAACAAAGATCCCCTTTTCCATTGCACTAAATGCACCAACTGCAATGACGTCTTCATAGAAATTATAAGCAACACCTCCAAGGGAAAGCGAAAGCACATCGACACCATCTTCAATAGCCATATCCATTGCAGCCAAAATGTCACTTTCAGAACAAGTGATAGCGGAGCACACTTTGTAAATAGCAACATGAGCTAGAGGTGCAACACCAGCTGCAGTGCCATTAGCATTGCCAAATATATTAGCACCTGGCACGAAATTTCCAGCAGCCGTGCTAGCAGTGTGCGTACCATGTCCATTTTCGTCCCATGGTGACCCGTTCCCCGAGGACTGGAAGTACCTCGCTCCAATGAGCTTGTTGTTACACTTTGTAACATTAAATTCACACTCACCCTTCCATTTAGCAGGGGGTGGGGGCATCCCAGCGTCGCTAAACGAAGGGTGGTCCGGGAAAATTCCCGTGTCAATGACTCCAATGATCACACCTTTTCCGTAATTTGAGTCATTCCAGAACCCCATGTTCTGGTGCAACCCCAAGAAATTGAGACTATGTGTGGTGTATAAATCAAGTTGCTTTTCAGGGCGGGCAGAAATAAATCCTTCCTTTTTCTCCATTTCCTTGAGATCATCTGGTGATAATTTAGCTGCAAAGCCTGTTAGAACGTTTCGATAGGAATAGATCAATCGTGGCGCCTCACGAGAGCCATCTGAGGTTGTTGCAGGCAAGAAAGAAAGATACCAACTATCTAAATCTTGATATCTGCTAGTGCCTTCACTATCGGGAAACTCACAATGAACAATATAGACTTGTGAATTGCTTTGTTTTTCTTTAGGCCTTTCATCAACAGGGCGTTCATTTGCATTAGTGGTGAATGAAGAGAAGAGAAAAGTAATGCCAATTATAGTCAGAATTGACCTGTATTGAGCCATGACAACTTCAGTGCTAGTGAAATATAGCTGACTATTTGTGAGTTTGTATTTTGTTTAAGTGTTTTGGAATGTTTGATGGGTATATATATAATTGTTGGAAGCTTTTTTTTATTTTCTAGTCAGAAGCTATTATAGATATGTGAAATAGTCATGCCTGGAGATTCTTAGATTAAATAGAAAAATGAAAGTGGATTGGTCATCTACACGCTAAATCGACTTGATTTTATTTAACTCCTCTTTGATAATGAACTTGAGATAGCAACAACATATAGATGAAGAAGTCTATAGTATGCCTTTCTTATGTAAGTAATGTTCGAATCAACTTGTGCTCACCTCAACTAATTCACTGGACAACTTGTTCGATCCACACGTGCAGGTTGTCAAGGTAAGTATGCTCACAAAAGTTGGAACACACGAGGCCACGTTTAAGTGTTATGGCTGAAATTTGAACTTGAAATCTCAAGATTATTACTCACATAGTTCAATCATTAGACCATCTCCTGGAGATCAAATGAACTCAAGATAATAACTTCAGAGCTCAAAACGAATTTGTTTTCTTTTACAGTTATTGAATCCAGACCTGTTTTCTCTGTCTGAGAGCTAAAGGAATCACATGCTCAAACATATGAATCTTCCTTTTAATAATCTTACTTCCCTAGTTAATGTTATATCTGTTAAGACATAATTACTTGCATCGACACTTAAGCTGGTTCCTTAATTACTGTCTTAGTCACTTAACCATTTCATCTTCAATCTATTGGATTCTTCAGATATAAACAAGAGCCCGTTTGGCTTAGCCGAATCACATGCCCGCTTGCATCGACACTTAAAAGTACTTTTTAAGTGCTCGAGCTGATTTTATAATTGCGTAGTACTCTTAAAAACTATATAGTTTGGAGCAAACTCTACAAACATAAATGCAAATTTTAACTTTATATATGTAACGAGATATTACTTATACTACTTCACCCTCTACCTCTAAAGGGAACTTTTCAAATTTTCACCAATGGTCTTCCTTAGGGGGTGGCAAACGGGCGGGTCTGGCCGGGTCGGATATGGGACGAGTCGAAAACGGGTAATGAAAAAACGGATAAATTATCCGGCCCGAACCATAATTAATACGGATAAAAATGGGTTAACCGAAGGGCTTTTTGAATATGATCACTTTTGGGATAATTCCTAGTTTTCCAAACTTGAGGAACCCTCAATTTGAGGCTTTACAAATGTAAAAGTTAAACCAATTAGTTATCCATTGGTTATAATATGGTTCTTATACATATTTGACCCATTTTTAAAAAGTTCATTATGCAGCCCATTTTTTAATGGATAATATGGGTGATTAACTGTTTTCTTTTAACCATTTTGCCACCACTAGTCTTCCTTTTTTATTTATGAGCGCATACTTTCTCCAAATAAAAAATGGATAATGATTTGTAGGATCCCAATAGATTTGATGTTGATTACTTACTTGTATAATAAAAATATGCCAACACTTAAGTTTTTTAAACTTTGAGCTTTGTCAATCCTGACAAATTCAAGCATTACCACTTTGGTTTTTTGTTTTGAATGAGATAAAATAATGTCTGCCTTCTTAACTCCAAATTGCTAAATCCTTGGCAAGCAAGGAACAAAAAAACAATCTTTCTTGTCTGCTTAAACTTCTGTTTCAGATGCTGTAAGCTTAACAATAACAGTGTTTTTTATTGGTTTCCCACTCGTCTCATACACGTTTTAGGGCCCGACTAATCTGGATTCGCGACAGCGAGTCCTACCTTCAAGGGCGGAGCTAGGCCTTCGGTTACGGGTTCGGCCGAACCCAATAATTTTTGTCAAAATTCTATATTTGTCTTATAATCCATTGAATGTGTACAAGATATTAATTTAGAACTGAGTAACTCAACAGAACTATAATGCCGAACCCATCAACTTCAAATCTTAGCTCCGCCTCCCAGAAAACAGTATATTCCAATTAGCAGCATATATCATCATCTATCTAGTGTTAAGTATATTCTCGAAAAGTCTTAACCTCATATTCAAAATTGCGACATGTCTTATTTAATTGATTGTTAAAAGTAAACTATGAATATATATAGAAAGACGAGAATTGTTAGAAGTAAACTATAAATATAGAAAGTACGAGAATTGTTAGAAGTAAACTATAAATATAGAATGTATGAGAAAGAGACCTAAATATTCTTCTTTTCTTTCTTTTTAAATATTTTTTGAAGTAGTAATATTCATCTTATGTTAAACTATGTCGTAGACATAATAAATAAATAAATAAATAAATAAATGTGACATCTAGGCAAATCTCACATGGGCAAAACACAGTAGAGATGTTGAGTATATAAGTGTACATGCCTTAAATCTTAATGACGCATTTTAAAGTCGTGCGGGCCTAGGCGCAACGCATATAATATCACTAGTGGACTGGGATGTTATGTGACACCCTAGGCATATCGACAAAACAAATGCGCATTAGACCTAAGCGAATGTGATGCGTTTTAAAGCCGTGCAGGCCTAGGCCAAAGGGATGAGTTGTTACAATAAATAAGGATGTTTTTTATGTAACCGTTTAAGTTATTAAATAAAGAAACACTTGACAATATTGATTAAACAATTTTGTTGGAATTAATTTTATTGGCATAAATTCCTGCAAATTCAAATAGACTATAGGATAATACTGATACAGAGAGTCTGACCAGTGTAAAGCATTTGGAGGAGTTGGCTTCAAATTTTTGTTGGCAGAAAATTAAAATCAGAAAAAGAGTAAAAGATGAAAAGAAAAATTTCAACGAGAGAAAAGGCGTAATGGCTTCCAGACCACTTAAACTTGTAAGGCTTTTGAAAGCCGATACACAAACTTTGGACTTTCCCATTTGAACACTCAAACTGGTGAAACCCTTAATTAATAAACACATTTAACCCTTGACCCTACGCGCGTGTATTACACATTCACATACGTGTCCATCCAGTCAGCAAATGACCAATGAGATTGTTACATGTCAAGGGCGCGAATAAATTTATTAATTTTTACTTTTTCTTCTATTTCCCTTATTTTCTTCTTCACCATAGCTGTGCAACTTTTACCCGACGGGGACGGAGCAAAACGACGTCACCAAACCCAGCCACCAAAGCTGTGCAACTTTTACCTGAAACATTGGTTGCAGCAATTGAATGGATGGTAGAGGGAAATAAGGCTTCATTTTGCAAAGATGAACTTTCCTTAGAAGGAACGGGACACAATAATGGATATCGTTTTGCAAAGATTCGTTTCACATCACTATGAAGTGTGGAGACAAGATTGCGTTCATAGTTTTGATTGGTGTGGGTTCTAGGTTCCTTTTCACCACTCTAAGAGAGTTGGGTGTCAATATAGGGAAAAATAAGGGAAAGCCACATGAAAGTGAGAGCTTTTGATGGATTCTAAGTGACGGATATATCATCGATGTAGAAATTTTTTCTGGGGAGGCGGTGAGATCATATGGCAGGAGAAGTTCCTTCCATTCTGAACCAGTATGTGAAATTTGAGTGGGATTATCAGGAGGTCATGGTTCATGGAGAACTTAGTCATCCCATCTATTCTGAACACTTGATCCCTATCATTGAAGAGATTGAAAAGTTTGATGGAGCTACTTTTCATGGAACCGGCGGAGTCAATAAACCCAGCCGCCATTTTCTTCTTTCTTTTTTGGTTTTCCTTATATTTTCTGTTTATTTTTTTGATTTTACAATCTTTTTAATGAATAATAACATATGCTGGCTCCATTTGAATGTGACTTGTACGCACTATGTCCACGTAAGATAAGCATAGTTAATGGTTAAATGTGTTTATTAGTTGTAGGTTTCACGAGTTTGAGTGTTTAAATGGGAAAGACGAAAGTTTGTGTATCGGCTTTCAAAAGCCCTACAAGTTTAAGTGGCTTGGAAGCCATTTCGCCGAGAGAAAATCACAAAAAGGACATGTATATATACCAAGTAGGGTTGGGCCAAAACAATTATACCTTCTCCAATGTGAAAAAGGACATTTTTCCCGGGTTTGACTAGCGCGATCGCGCTAGTGGCCCAGTGTTCTGCCTGACGAGCGCGACCTGAGCGCGATCGCGCTATTGACGCGCATTTTTCACCCTGTTCCGTTTCGAATTTGGAAAAAACGCAAAACATGAAAGTTGTAGCCCTTTGAGTTAGCTTTCCAACCATATATTGTGGAGCCAAAATGGAGTTCTGAGCAAAAAGTTATATCTATTTTACTAGACAGTGCGCAATATGCCTACTGGAGTCTTCGTTCGCTCTAACTATCATCCGTTGACCCCCAAACACGATCTCGGCTTAATTCCTTCAACTTTTACTCAAACTTTAAAGCTCCAAATCACTCGAATTCATTCCATAACATCTACATAGCTCGGAATCACTCCTACAACACACCATTAGTGTAAAACACTAGCGATTAAAGCTCAAACTCAATTAAAGTGCAGTAAATTAGAGTGTAATAATCGACTAAAATACGTAATTATAGCCTATCATTAATGAGTTATTAATTACTAAATCTTGCAAGTGGTTTAAATATATTTATTTTACAAGTGTTGTCGCTAAATTGAATCAGTAAAACTATCTGATTTAATCTTTAAACTAATTATATTTTCTTTGAAACATGTGAATATAAAATACAAATATGTGTTTAATTGAAGAAGATATAACCTAAATAGCCTAAAAATAGGCAATGGATATGTAATACATGCATTATTCATGTATAATATATGTGTTACTATATATAATCAGTTTATAATCTATATAGAGTGAGGGTGAATATATATTTTGAAACAACCATCATCTTAATTCAAATCAAACTAGGGTAGTTATCCACCCACTGAGCCTGACATAAAATCAACCATCGGTGCTAATGCACGAACAACCCGATTCGCGGACCTTCTAACAACAAACAAAGGCAGAAACTGAAAACCTTTTAAGATGTTTTTACAATCAAAAATCACTTCAGATAAATATTAGTAAATATCTTCGGCCTTCTCCAATGCATTCTTCACAAGTAGACTATC